CAGAACTGCAACAGTTTTATACCACTTTTTGACAAAGTGTTATAAAACAAACTTCATCCCACCCATTCAAAAAATGTATTGTTGAAAATAATGTATTTCCTTTCCCCAATCAGATGAACAGTTGGAAAAGGGTATTTAAAATAACCACAGTTACTCCATATTGAGGGATTATCCTGGCAGTCACTGTACCCAGCTGCTTACAGGCAGTGTATTATTCAAACCTCCCAGCAATAGTATGGGATGAATGCTACATTATTATCCCCATTTTACAGATGAAGTAAGTGAGGCTCAGGGAAGGGTCATCATTCAGTGAAAGGTCTAACATTAATAACCCTTTAAGGAGCTGACTGTCCAAGTTTTCTCCTCCCAGTCTCTCTAAAGCTCACGAGAGAGCATGAGAAAGCCCCCTTCCCCCCTTCTAAGTCAGTGGTAGTTTAGCAGATCTCATGTTACATATGTACCGGCAGCATCAGTTGTGCAGTTAACCATCTCTTCTTAATGTGCTTTCCCCACTTGGCGTTCAGGAGGCCACATCTTCTGGATTTCCTCGTCCCTTAGCAGACACTGCCTTTAGTCCCTCCTTTTTCCATCAGGACGCCCTTGGGCTCAGTCCTTGGGGCTCCTCCTCTCTTTGCAGCCATGCCCTGGTCATCTCATTCAGTCTCATGGCTGCAAAAGCGTCTATAAGCCGATGGCTTGTATCTCCAACCCGGGCCTTTCACCGGATCTCTAGACTTCTATATCCAGTTGCATCCTGAACCTCTCCACATGGATGTCTAAAACCCACCTCAAACTTATCAGGTCCCAGATGGAACCTCTGATCTTTCCCCAAACCTGCTCTCCCCACGGTTATCCAGTCTCAGGGGATAGAGGGTGGCAAATTCCATCGTTTCCCTGTTGCAAAGATGCAAAACTTTGAAGGCAGCCTTGCCTCTTTTCTTTCCCTCACCTCCCACATGCAATCTGTCAGGAAGTCCTATGTACTGTATTTTCAAAATACATTCAGAATCCGATTTCTTACCACTTCCCCTGCTTCCACCCTGCTCAGATCCACGACCATTTCTCACTTCAGCTGTTGCCGTTGCCACCTGCTTGGGTTGCCTACCCTCTGTCTTACCCTCCTGTTAGTCTGTTCTCCACGGAGCTGCCGGGATGATTCTGTTAGACTGTAAGTCGAATAATGACAGTCGTAGCCTTAAATCCCCCCAGTGACTCACTCCCATTTCCATTGAGAGTAAAAGTTGAAATCCGTACACTGGTTTCTTAGAACTTCGGCCATCTGGCCTCTGTTACCTCGGACTTGACTTCCTCTTACTCTGAGCCTCACTTGATTTCCTTTCCTTCCCACTGGCTTCCCTGATGGTCTTTGAGCAGCCCCAGGGTGCTTCAGCCTGAATGCCTTTACACTAAATATTTCCTCTGCCTGGAAAGTTCTTCCCCCTTCAAAGCTGCTCTGTCTGCTGCATGAGGGCCCTTTGACTACCCTATTTAACATGGACTCTGCTCCCTTCACCCCTGCTCAGTGCTGTTTAGTTTATTGACATAATCTCCTTCTAATGTATGCGATCTGCTTATCTAAGTTTCTATTAGTATTGGTTCCCGCTGCCATCAACAAGCCTTTAATCATCAGTGGTTTCAAATCCAGCTCTGTGGCTAGAATAGACAACACATGCCCAATAAATATTTGTTGAATGAATAAAGTGCGTGCTGAGTTGCTTCAGTTACATCCAACTCTTTGTGACGCCATGGACTGTAGCCCGCCAGGCTCCTCTGTCCATGGGATTCTCCAGGCAAGAATCCTGGAGTGGGCTGCCATGCCCTTCTCCAGGGGATCCTCCCGACCCAGGGATCAAACTGGCATCTCTTATGACTCCTGCACTGGCAAGCGGGTTCTTTACAAGGAGGGCCACCTTGGAAGCCCTAAATGAATCAAAGTGACAGCATGTCAAATCCTGATTTGTGGATCATGCTGATTCCCTGGGGACTGTATAATAAAACCAGCTGTCTCTGGTCAGCCTGGATGGTGACAAAACCATAGGAAAGCAAGTTCTCAAGTTATGTTTCTAAGCATAATAAAGCAATTTAAAAAAGCCAGACTATGTCAGATGCGTGAACTGAGTTGTGAATGTGGTGGTGTCCACTCTGACTTCTACATATGCTCCCAGGGACACGTTCTTGGACACAAGTAAGTCTGCTCCCTGACACTACCCATCCCTGTCTGTGGTGTCTCAGCTTAATTTTGCTCCCTACCTCATGGGATTGTGGAAGTTGTTAATAAATGTGAATGGTTTGGAACAGTACCTGCATATAGTGAACTCTTGGTATTTGTTAGCTGCTATTGTCATTTTTACTCTTTTTATTATTATTTCATAGGGGCTCTCAGAAGATATTACCTTAATTCAAAGAATTTGCACTGATGAAGGAGGTATTCTAGTAGGAACACCCACTTGTCTTTTTAATCATCTAAGCTTAAAGTTTCTGCTTTATGGGTGGGTGTGTGTGGGAAGGATGTTGATGTCAATCAGAAGTCTGTTGAAGATGTTCTATAAAGATAAAAAATACATTGCTTCAAGGATATGTCTTGGATGACTTTTAATAGCACAGCTACAGTAGATGCCATTATTCAAATTATTTACTCAAGTACGAGTGTTTTCTGGACTCCCACTACTGCTGCAGTTGCTAGTATGTCCTTATAAATGGCTACCATTTAAGCAGAGCTTGCTGAATCCTAAGTAATTTACCTCTACTAACTTCCTACTCTTATCATAGCCTATGAATTAAGGATTAATTAATACTCTTATTTCTACGTTCAGACTCACAGAGAAGTCAGGATGGTTGCCTTATCACGTAGCCAGTGATGGAGTTTGGATTGGAATCTACAGTTTAGCCTTAAAGCTTATGCTCTTCACATTACATCACTTGGTGAAAAAGCCAAGGAGAGGAACACATTTCTCTTCTAACTAGATTCATAAATGTCAGCAGAATGACACTATGGGAGAATTTAACATATAAGAAAATATAGATTTACTTCTGAATAGTCTGAGTACTAAAGATTTATTAACATACTTTCTGAAATAATAAACTTAAAAACGTAGAAGTTTATCGAGTTTCAATGAAAATGAATTTTGAACTACAAGAAAATAAACTCTGCTAGAATTAAGATAACTGTTTCTTGCCAAAGTGAATTATAATGGACGATTATTTTAGCAGATTTTACCCATGTAAATAAAGTAAAATCTAAGTACTCAGAAATCTGGCATGAACAATATTTCTTTAAAACCTAAAAAGTACTTTGCAGTCTTAATTGTTAACCAGTCATCAATGATTTCTAATAAATACCTAGAAGGAAGAAGCTTATAAAACATGATTTCTGGGTAAAAGATCTGTAGACTTTTTAAATTAAAAGATCCCTAGAAATTTACTGATGAATTTGGTGGGGTTTTAAATAGGAAGATGGTTTCTTTCTCCTTTCCTGATTGCAAACTACCAAAGCATCAGGTTATATAAGAAGCCCAAACCAAAGGAGTTAGGGTCTCTACAGAACGCTGTGAGAAGAGATTGGAAAGTGTAAGGTACCACTTGGCAGTCTGAGGACTGAGAGGCCGCAGCAACTGCAGGTCTTTGTCTCTCTGGCTGAAGAGGTATCTTTGCAGTCTCTGGAGAAAGCTCAGGTGGCTGTTTGTGGCTTTCAGGATCGTGTCCCGAAAGGGGAGCTATCTGAATGGAAAGAGATGCTGTGTGTTTCTCAGGCACTGGGTTAGCGGGTGGTGAGCAAGGCCTTTTGAGAAATGATGGTACTTCAACAGATTTGGGAAACTGTGGAGGACTAAAGGTGATGCTGCTTCCTGGATCCTGGTTATGGATTAGTTTCAATGTGGAAATTCTCCGAGTTTGAGAATCTTGGGTATAGTCCTCTTGGAGAAATGGGGTACTCATGTCAGCTTTTGGTGGGGGACCTGTGCTGGAAGGTGGTGGTAGTGGATTAGTGATTTTTTGTGTATATGACACAGTTGTGTTAGATTCTTCAGAATATACAATTGTCTGGCTAGAATCATCATTAGAATACATAGTTCCCTGGATAGGTGTTTTGTTAGTAATGAACTCTGTACAGGATGGAATTTGTGTGTTAGTTACTAATTGGTCTAAAATGTCACCCTTTGTATGATTGGTTATCAAGGAGCTACAAAAGCTCTCTTTTCTGGGTGGTGGAAGGGGTGCCTGGGTTACCAAAAGCATCCGGAGAAAGAAATAATATTGAAGGAAAAACAGAGAGAAAGTCAAAGTTAATCATTAAAGAAACCAGTGTTAACTCTACCCTTTAAAGAAAGTAAAGCAATGTTACACCTTCTTCTTATGCTCTACATTTTGTTGGCCAGATTGAATGATCGTGTTTATTTAGAATGCATTTTAATTTATTGTCAATAGTTGCCTTCTGGGGGAAAATAGTTTTATAGAGAATACGTGATCAAGTTTGTCTCCATCTACTTTCTGGGAAATTAGGTTAAAAGTGAAAATATTTTCTCTTGGTATATTTTTAGACCTTCAGGTATATATACAGTATTTACTCACATCATTTTGGTAACACGTTTCATGCCTGTGACAATTTTACTAATATCTCCAACACTGAGTTTCTTTCGTTAATTTAATGAGCAGTTGCATAACTCATATTTATTCAGTAAATAATATATTGCTGGCCTCATAACTTTGAAATCCAAATCATCAACTGACTGTTTTTTTAAGAATTAGAAAATATCCTGAAAATTATACCAGAAACTGTTGTGCTTTTATCAGCTGAATCAGAAAAAAAGAAAAATCAATAAACTGTTTTCAACTTAAGACTTGTCTTCCATGTTGTAAATACAAGTCAATATAAATATAAAAACAACATATTAAAAATAAAACATATCAAAATATGCATGTTATTAGAAAAGAGACTCTGGAGCAGTGGCCTAATAACCATGCTTTAAAATAACACAGTGGACAGCAGTGTGCAGGATTACCTGAGTTGGTGATTTTTTTTCTTGTAGATTTGGTCGAACGCTTCTAAAACCTTTTGCTGCAAGAGAGGAACATGTAGCATCTCCATTCAGTGTCTCTTGATTTCGATCATTGTAACATCTCCAAGCTTTTATTAAGAGAAAACAAATCGGATACAAAAATATCTACATTCACTTTTAACATATTTTTTAAATAAAATTTATTTTTATTTCCAAAATTGAAATTTTCTTTTTAGACATTAAAAATGCATAACTGTGTGTGCAATTTAAGTTTACTGTAAGAATAACAATGTGGCTATGAATATGTTTAAAAAAAACAACTCACAACAAATGCAGTAGTTATTCAGAATAGTTTTTTGGTACCTGAGTCTGGTGACTGAGAATCACGCCCTAAAAGAAAAAGAGATGTTGAAATTACTTCTCTGGTAAAACGAGCAATGCAGTAAAGATCGTTTGGCAAAAAAACAACGTACATTTTGTTTTTTGGGCAAACATTATCTTAGATCTAAAACTCTGGTTATATAAAATATACTAATGGAAGTTTGTGCATTTGTTTTTACTTCAATTAGATTAGAATTAATTAAATATGATATATAATTAAAACATATATCAAACACTGATTTTCCCCTCAGTATTATTGCATGAATTCAGTTTTATCTTATTACTGCTTAAGGTGAATATATGAATTTTTAAATAGCAGTTTGAAGGATCAAAAGTTTGGTAAACAATGAACGGTTCTCCCAACAATGAATCAAACCACCAGATCCTTAGCTTTCAATGCCATCAATTTTTTGTAGCTTTAATTCTTCTTTACTTTAAGAAAGTGTAAAATACACTGCCATATTATATGATATTTTCAAATCATTCTCTAGACTTTGAATTTTCTTCTTACTGCCATTTAAGAGTGATTTTATATTCAACAATGAAAAAGCTGTTTCAAGTATTCTACTGTCTTGCAGTAAGCATTTCATTACTAATAAATTGCTTTAGATAATACAGCTGGAAAGCAGCCCGATGACATATTTACTCTCAGTTTTATTTGGAATTATACTCTCAAGAATCTCCTATAAATTATGCACAGTTTTAGGTAATCAGTTGGTATTGCTTGGCTCTATGATACCACAGGGCCAACTTCACCTGGAATCATAAAGCCTTAATTTTAGAAAGGCTCTTAGAGGTCATTCAGCCTAATCTTCTGTCCAGGGCCTGGACACTAATGATTCAGATTTACTTTTAAGTGGGTGGTCCTTTAAGGAGCCTCAGGTGTACAAATATTTCAGTTTCTTTAACATAAATCTAATTTTAGATATATAAAACGCCGGGTGCCAATTTTCTACTTTACTGATATTGTAGTTTTTCAGAGGAACTGAAAGTCATATCGCATCCCACATGGTCACTGTTCACCAAAGCTCTGTTTTTATTTCACCCCTGCCAGGAAAGCTTAGGAAAGGGAGGGCAGGTGTGGTTTGGAGTGGGTAGTAAGAAGCATCCTAGACACATGTCAAGTAAAGAGAATAGAGCTTTTTGGTTATTTTTTTAAGAATTGGGCAGGTAAATAACTTGGCAGATGCTTGAGAAAATGGTTTTGTGTAATATCTTGAACACTCTTCATGACCATTCACTTGTGGAAAAAAACAGCTAGAATTCTAGGGATCAGAGCCTTTAATTTTTAGTATATTTTAGTGGGTGGTCATTGCTTCTTTGAAAATTTAAGAATGAGTAAATGGGACAGATTTAATGTTCCCTGGCTGTTCTGTGCATGATAACAGTCTTTGAGAACTAAGAACTTTAACTGCTCTTCCCTCTTATAATGAGCACCACCTGTGTGCTGTAGAAGGTAGTGAACACGTGAGAGAAGTTGTCAGGGCTTTCCTGGCCTGCTGTCGGGGACTGGACTTGATGTCCTTAGCGGTCCTTTCCACCCTTATGATTCCAATATTACGATTTTTTATGTAGCTGTGTTTGCAGTACCCCCTACCTCATAGTCTCTACTCTTGGGTTTTACTTAAATGTCTTTATGATGCTTTTCTTTAAAGTTATGTTGATTTTGATTCTTATAGCCCCTTTCTTTGGAGGGTTCAAGTGCCTTGCAAGAATTAAATGTATTAACTAAATTCAAGTTAACTAACTGAATGGCTACTGTCTTTGTCAGTACTATGATAAACCTGCCCATTTATTTTCTTCATTTACCCTCATTTAATTCTGACAAATCCTTATGAGTTGGGGAAATGATTGTTTTTCTAACATTTTCTATGCTCACATACACATGAACAAATGTGTACAAATACATATATAATTTTTTTCAAACTAAAATGAGATCATTACTACATCCATTGCAATGCAATTTACATTTTTTTAATAAAAGTAACATATTATGGAAACACCTGGCTTTGTATTTAAACTTAGACATTGAAATCTATTTATGGATTGAAGGTGGTGGGCAGGAGTGGGATTCTCCACATGGAAGCTTGATTTTTCCTCAACAAAACTGGATAGTTTAGGGTCAAGTGGCTTTAAAGTCAAGGACATCCTGAATAATTGACTAATAAATGCATGTGTATAAAAGACAGTAATACGCACAGTGAGAATTAGAATTATTTAAATATCTTTCATCCCTTCCCCACTTCTGTTCCAAAACTCATGAATATTATTTAAAAAACCAAAGGAAACCCCAACTAACCAAGGAAAAATAAAATTGACCAACCAACTAACCAGTCAGGGTATATTTCAAGGTCTAGAGAGACTAGGGTTGAAGTCATGAGAGATTATTTATTATAATAAGACACACTTCAGTGGATGCTGAAATATCACACTCCCAGTTACTTTCTAGAGTATATTTATACTTGTGAGTTCATGTTAATTTTAATTGGACCAAGATGTTTAAAAATATATATTAGAAAGCTCTTTGTTGATTGGATTAAAGGAAGATTAAAAGTCTCTTTCAAAGTTAATATTCTATCATTTTATTTGCAATCTTTGACTAAGAAGCAAATTAATAAAGATTCAATTTCCTGCAAATCCCACTTCTGCCACTCTGTGCCTCCACCCTCAACAGTTTTTAGGTAAAAAACAAGAAAAGTACCTATGAGTTATCTTAATTAAATATTATGTTACTTTAGTTCATGCAGTACAAAAACTTAGTTAAAACTTGCAGCTACTTAACACATTTTTGGCAAGTGACTTGTTTTTAATTAGGTTTTTAAAATATTTTCTACAAGATATCAGTTCCCTTTGACATTTTTTATTTTTAGAGCAAAACAGTCATAAGGGATAGGAGCTATTCTTGAGACAAGAAAAATAAGAACTTGTGGGGCATTAGAAAGGTATTTACAGCCACTTTCATCATCCAAACAGGATAATTCTGGAAAGAGAGAAAGGTCAGAGAAAGCCATTCAAATGTGACATTCTGTGAGTTAGTGATATTATACCTGCAGCCAACAGGTTTGGAGAACTCTGAACTCTCTTCACAGATGTTAATGTAACAGACATGGCGGCACGTTTGCGAGCACACCCACCGCTATCTGGAAGCAAAAAAATGACATAGCAGAGGCCACAGCAAAGGAGAAAGCACATGCAGTATCATGCATCTCAGTGAAATGTGACAGACATCCATGAGAGAGATGAACAGTCAGCACTAGTAACCATAGGATACATCTGCAAAATTTACACCCACCCCAAACTAAACCAAAACAAAACAAGGAAAACGCCAGGGTTATGTCTTATAAATAGATGCCAATGATTTAGTAAAAGAAAAAAAAAAATCAGATTTTATACTTGATGTTTTATGGTTTTTCTTTGAGGAACACCATGTATAGAACTGAACTTTGTTTTTACCATTTGAATTCAACTATTAAATTTACGAGCAGTGTAACTAGCTTTTAGAGTTATGAATATCCTGTATTTCAGGATTAAGAGCTATGGTATAACATACTTTCATATCCATCATTTTAGGTTTTACTGTATTTGAGCTATTATGATTCCTGAAGATAGGTCAAAGGACCTCTTGAAGTAAAAGTTCTTACCTACCTGTTATAGGCATAATACATTTGATATGTAAGATTCATAAAGAAAAACATTCTGTGTCTTCCCATAGTTATTATTAGTTATGGGAAATTTTGCCTAATTGAGGTAAAACAATATTGATATATACAGTACTGAAATGACCATGTTTAAAAAATTAGTTTTCATACTTTTGAACAATAAGTATATGACTTATGTATTTACACTTAATGCAAATCACAGCACGAAGTAAAAGAAGTGAAAATGCATCAGCTATTTTAATATGATTTGAAAAGCTTAGCGTAACGAGACTTCTAAAATTGGAAGGTTAATGTTCTATTTAGGAACAGATTCCAATTCCATTCCCACATTCCTTTGTAGCTGGAATGTGCAATAAATAGTTTTGCTCATTCCCCTGGAACCAAAAGAACTTAAATTTAATTCTTTTTGAAAGCTATAACAAAAGATATATTAAAAAAAGAGAGAAATTCTATAACCACCAATATTATAATTATTATATTTGGCCACATGCTAGTCTTGCATATTGCTTTCCTTTATTTCTTAAGGAGTGTATCCATTTCGTTTATTGAACATGAGGGAACTTAGTGCTGAAAGTATGATTTGAATTAATTGTTGGTAAAATAACAAGTAATAAGGTCAGCAGAACTTTAAATTGATAGAATGATTCTCATGTCAAAATATGTTTTTAAATATATACTTAAAATAGCAATTTTGTAATGAAGATAATAAAACAGAGAAATGGGACAACAAAAGAAAGTAAATCAAATAAACCAAAGACCAAATATAGAATGACATAAACGGTAAAAACATACAACCAAATGTATCTTCAGGAGAGACACCAATAAGATTTTAGCAAACTCTGCAAATGGAAAATAGCCATGGGTTGGGGGGGGGGTGAATGTTTCTAATAAAATAGAGGTAATATTATTGAATACGCAATATATAGCAGCTATCAGGGTCTCAAAAGGTTAAGTATTCTGGTGTGTTGACAGTGTGAATGGAAAGCTCTCATTTACTAGAGATTACATTTTCTAGTTCTTTTAATTCTGAACATCTGAGGAACAAGCAGAGATGCAAAGGGAAAAATTCAGAATAGAGAGACCCAAGGTCACTGGTTAAACCTTTGGTTTCCAAAACTCTGTATTAAGCACCCACCACAGTGGATTCACAAGGGTTTGGGAACATAGTTCACATTTTTGAGGAAAACACAGTGATGTCTATCAGACAGACACTGCATCCACCACTAGCCTGAGGCAGTTCCCAGTTTTAACATCAGAGATCCTGTTATCTTCTTTTAGATGAGGTCACATCTTTGTAAATCTGGGTTTTTGGTGATTGTTGTGGTGGAACACAAGTGCCCTGTCAAAGTAATCCAGGCCAGTAATTGAGAGAAGTGAAATACAATCTAATTCTGAGTCTGAGTAATTTTATAGCGCCCAATACACACAGGCATCCCAGTAACAAGTAACTGTGGTTATAGGGAATTGGATAAATGATTATTTTTTTCAATTGAAGTATATGAAATGAAGTGAAGTGTTAGTCGCTCAGTTGTGTCCGACGCTCTGCAAGTCCATGGACTGGGGCTCGCCAGGCTGTTCTGTCCATGGGATTCTTCAGGCAAGAATAGTGGAGCGGTTTGCCATTTCCTCCTCCAGGAGATCATCCCAAACCAGGGATCAAACCCGGGTTTCCTGCATTGCAGGCAGACTCTTTACCATCTGAGCCACTGGGGAAGCTCTAAAATAACCATGGCTGTTTGGAGCTGCCGGGGAAGTATATTGAAGTGTGTGATTTTGTTCAGATTGCTTCTGAGTTGATAGATCATGAGCACTTACTAAACTGTCTGCACCTAACTGCTTAATAAATACAACTATCAGGTACTTTTGGCTTGAGGGTGCATGAAAAATTACTGAGCTGTCTTGGCCCTGTCAACCAAGAAAGTGTGGGAACCTCTGGGTTAAATAATTTTTATATTCTATGTTACTCTAAGAACTCGGTAAAATGACTGGAGAATTTCTCTTTATTAACAGTTTAGTAGAGAGCTTAATTTGAAAAGTTGAGGCATTGATGAAAGTGCTGGAATGAAGAAATCTATCGTATGCTGTTTCTACTTACTTATGTGTTGATACTTTCTGCTCTTTCCTGAAGATATTCTTTTAGATCTCAAAATGAGGATGCTATCTTACATATTTAGGTCATCCAAAAGAACCCTAATGCTGCCCTCACCTTCACACTCACTCATAATCTGCTCACACTTCCAGGCCTTGGCAAGACCCTCGGTAGCTGCTTCTACTGCTGGAAAACACTCACAGGAGTAAACCATATACAATGGAGCATTTGATGTCTTTTTCTCACTCCTCCCCAGCAAAAATTTTCCTTCGAAAACAGTGGACCAAAAATTCCAAGAGTACAAATACAACATGTTTTGTATATTTTATACATTATTTAGATACTTTAGTATGAGAAATGTGTCACAGTTCCCTTGGCAGGTTTATTATGTATTGGGCTAAAAACAAAGAGCTGTTTTGAAAGAATCTTATTTTTTTTTAAAAACTTTAGTGACGGACACATGAACACTGAAATAGTAATATTTCTCTGTAATGATTGATAGGTAGATAATGGAGACCTGTTTTATTTATTGGATATTTGGGAACTGATTTCTACTTTGTTTTGAGATACAGTGACAATGCTTTCTTCAATTTCCTACGGTGTTGAAAAACTGTGTGTGTGTGCACACACACACGTGTAATTCTGTGTGTGCATGTGCTAAATCACTTCAGTTGTATCCAACTCTTTGTGACTCTGTGGACTGTGGCCCTCCAGGCTCCTCTGTCCATGGGATTCTCCAGGCAAGAATACTGGAGTGGGTAGCCATGCCTTCCCCCAGGGGATCTTTCTGACTCAGGGATCACACCTTGTCTCTTATGAATTCTGCACTGGCAGGTGGATTCTTTACCACTAGCACCACCTGGGAAGCTCTTATAGTTCTATATATATTTTCAAAAGTGGTATGTTTTTATAGCAACATTATAGTATTACTTTGGCATTTTAAACAAAGGGTTTCAGTCACTTCTAATTAATTTTGTATGTGTATGTTTGAATAACATATTTACATGCATATATAGATGTGTAAATTCACTCATATAATTAAAATATCTGCAAATTAACATCCCATATAGAGCCCAGCTCACTCCTTTTAGTGACAGGATGCTTTAGAGGGTTATATTCATGCTACTAGAGCCGTAACTTTATTCAAGTACCCTGGAGAACTAAACAAATTTACAAATTTCTATTTGCCTACTTTGTTATTGGGGATTGAATTCTATGAATAGGAAGGTTAATTATTGAATGCATTGTAACGAATATGATATACTTAGTATAATCACTATTATACATCTGTCATAATAAGGTTATAATAAATAGGAAAATCAGACTCCACAAAATGAAGGATATTGGGAAATTACGTTCAACTTGCATCATCTGCAAGAAGGTGCTGCAGAACAATTGGTGAATATAACTTCCTCGTGTGCATGACCGACTGGGGTGACTGTGCAGTTTCACAGTATGACTTAGACAAGCTCAGTGATGGGCTCTCTGTTCTATTTGCTTTCTTCAGTCTCCTTTGCCTAATAATATTTATCCTTTCATTTCCCATGTGTATAATTCTCACATCTCCAATTGTCCAAATGACTACTTGGTTCATTTCCAGGATTACAATTTCTGTTGATTTCTAAGCCCTCCTTGTCCTTGTTGGCTGTCTCCAAAGTCCTCATCTTGCCTGCACGCCTTTGAGCTGACTGTATAGGGGCCAGCTGACTTCAAACTCTCAGAGGTTGGTTCCAGCTGGTTTCTGCTAAGGGGCAGCCGCAGAATCACATTCAGAGCGCATGATCCAGGGATTAGGTATTGGTTCTCACCAGTGGTTGTTAATCCTCCCTCGAGGCATTTTGATAACAAGAGACAGCAAAAAAAACAACTGCCTTGATTTGAGAAAAATATCTTCCACCATGCTTTCTCCTTTGCTGTGGAGTGATCACTTATAGGTAGGAAGTGATATTTTCTAAACACAGTTGAAAATTACAAAATTTCAACTTGCTTTCCAGAATTATTCAATACTGAATATAAGAATTTCAGGAGGAGAAGGTGAAAATGTAAGCTAAAATAATTATATTATGGGGAAAAAATCATATGTATCTAGCAAGTACTACAAAATTTTTTTACAATTAATCTGTATACAATATGGGGTTCAGAGCACCAATGTTAAGCTATTTGGAGATACTGTTCTCACATCTAAAAATATAATATTTAAGACTCTAAGTGTATTACGTCTATTGATTAATTAAGCTGATTGCCTATGAAGTTTTGGCACTACTCTTGCTGTCACGTAAAATATTTATAGAATGGAGAATTTTAAATGTTCTCTCACTAGAGCAACCTGCCTATGAATTTACCCTATTTTAAGTTAGAGTTTTCAAATGTATGCATTGAATGATATACTACTTTTTCCTAGGGTTTATAGGAGTTAATGTCATGATATAATTATAGAAAAAAAGGAGTAAGAACAGACAGCAAAACAGAAAATTCTACTTTTGATAGCTGTAAGATTGAAGTACAAAAACAAAGAAATCAAATAATGAATTCGACTATCTCAGAAACTCAGTCTCACATTTAGGATCAGCTAAGTGCTAAACTAATGATTTAGGGCCAAGATGATTTTTAGAGAGTGAGGCTAAAGAGTTTAAAACTAACAGAGACAGCATACCTGTGTTCATTTTGACCTTGGAGGGTTTGTTATTTAAGTCTTCAGTTTTCCTGTAGAAAGAAAATGATGTATTAATTTGTTCACTAGTGTGGGGAGCAAAATATCAAGAAAGTGTTTTTCTTTGGTCTTGGTGTACCTGTGAGCTAATATCACATTATCGTTAGTCTTATTTAAATGAAAGTTTAATAAAGTGGGCAGAATTTATAATTCTATTCAAGTTAAACTTCAATTATTATTGGTCTTATTATCATAAACATAAACTCATGTTTTTGTTTAATGGTGATCGTTAATGGGTGAAAATGGAGTAGGGTTTTCATGGTTAAAAATTAAATTGCTTTCACAAACGTTTATAGTAACAGTTTTTGTTCTCTAAGCCAGAAAGGATCATTGATGGTTATGTGCCCTCTTCCAGAATTTTAAAAAACACTCTGATACTTTGAAATCATTACTTTACATTATTCAGTTTATTGCATTATTTATTTTATTTGAGATTATTACTTTACATTATTTAATTTATTATATTCAATTTATTATTGAATTAATTTATTACCAGGGAATATTTAATGTATTTAAGCAATGCACTTGCTTGTATTTTGAGCAAGTAATCAAAGGTAAGATTCATCTATTTTTACTAAAGTGAAAGAAATAAATGATGACTATTAAACCCAGTTCTGTTTCAGTATCAGATGTGGTGGTTTTCCCCACTGGAGTGCTTGCTGTATGACAGCTGAGATTAATTTATTGGAAATGGTTGGGAAAATGTTGCTTGTAGAAAACAAGTTTCAAAATATTTATAGTGTTGTTTGATGTGTAAGATGACTTAGTTCTTTCCCTGGCATATTCTCTGAGCCCACTTTTAGAGTTTCTTATTTCTCTATACCCTGGTAACCAAAGCGAAAGGATAAGCTCTTCAGGAAGCAATTTTTCTAAGGGGAAGAGCTCTCTGAGAGTTGTTTAACCCTGGTCACTTTGCCTGAGCTCCTGAGTAGGGCCTATTGTCAATGAACGTGAACTTCCCCTACACCACACATTGAGTTTCCATTACATTAGCACTCTAATATCTCATAGGTTAAAAAAAATTATCTATACCTCATGGATCAGTAAATAATAATACAATTAAAATGTCCAATTGGGAAGACTGGACAGCTACATCGAAAGAATCAGACTGGGCTACTTTCTCACATCATGTGCAACAATAGATTCAACATAGATTAAAGACATGTATACAACTTGAAACCATAAAACTTCTAGAAGGAAATAGAGGCAGTACGCTCTTTGACACTGGCCTTAGTAGTATTATTTTTGGATATGTTTCCTCAAGCGAGGGAAACAAAAGCAAAAATAAACAAGTGGGACTACATCAAACTAAAAAGCTTTTGCCCAGCAAAAGAAACTGTCAACAAAATGAAAAGACCACCTACTAAATGGAAGAAGATATTTACAAATAATTTATCAGATAAGGGATTAATATCCAAAATATATGAAGAATTCATACAACTCAGCATCAAAAAATCAAACAACCCATGTAAGAATGGGAAGAGGATTTGAAAAGCCTTTTCCCCCTAGAAGACATACAGCTGGCCAACAGGCACATGAAAAGACACACACCATCACTAATCCTCAAGAAAATACAAATCAAAACCACAATGAGATATCACCTCACACCTGTCAGAATAGCTGTTATTAAAAAGACAACAAATAACAAGTGTTGGCAAGGATACCAAGAAAAGGGTGTCTTGTGCACTACTGGCGAGAATATAAATTGTTGCAGCCACCATGGAAAAGAGTATGGAGATTCCTCAGAAAATTAAAAATAGAACTAGCATAAGTTCTAGCAATTTCACTCCTGGGTATTTATTCAAAGCAAACAAAAATACTAATTAGTAAAGATATGTGCACCCCTATGTTTGTTGCAATGTTATTTACAATAGCCTTTTCATACTGTTCATGGGGTTCATTAGAAGGACTGATGTTGAAGCTGAAACTCCAATACTTTGGCCACCTGATGCAAAGAGCTGACTCATTTGAAAAGACCCTGATGCTGGGAAAGACTGAGGGCAGGAGGAGAAGGGGACGATAGAGGATGAAATGGTTGAATGGCATCACCGACTCAATGGACATGGGTTTGGGTAGACTCTGGCAGTTGGTGATGGACAGGGAGGCCTGGCGTGCTGCGGTTCATGGGGTCGCAAAGAGTCAGACACGACTGAGCGACTGAACTCAACTATTTACAATAGCCAAGATATGGAAGCCACCCAAGCACCCATCCATAGATTAATAAAGAAGATGTGGCTTACATGTGCAATGGAATATCACTTAGCCATAAAAAAGAAGGAAATCTTGCCGTTTGTGACAATGTGGATGGACCTAGAGGATATAAATGAGTAAGTCAGGCAGAGAAAGACAAATAGTGTATAACTTCACTTATATGTGAAATTGAAAAAACAAGATAGGGAATTCTCCAGTGGCTCAGTGGTCCACACTTTCACTGCTGAGGGCATAGGGCTAATCCCTGGTCCGGGAGCTAAGATCCTGCAAGCCCACATGGCGAAGCAAAAAAAAACAACTTTAATAAAAAAAACAAAGCAAATTAACAAATGTAACAAAACAGAAACAGTCACAGATACAGAGAACAAACAGGTGGTTGCCAAAGTGGAGAGGGTGGCTGGAATAAATAGGTGAGGGACATTAGAGGTACAGACTTCCAAGCAGCAAAATAAAGGTGTCATGGTATGAAACGTACAGTGTGGGGGATATAGCTAGTAACTATGTAACATCTTTGTATGGCGATAGATTCATAACTAGACTTAATGTAGTGATTATTGTGAAAGGTATAGAAATATCGAATCACTATGTTGTGTAACAGAAGCTAATATACTATATTGTAAGTCAGTTATACCTCAACAAATAAACTAACAAACAAACTCATAGAAAAAGAGATCAGATTTGAGGTTGCCACTGGTAGGTATAGGGGAAATTGGATGAAGACAGCTAAAAAGTACAAACTTCCAGTTATAAGTAAGTATTAGGTATGTAATGTACATGATAAATATAATTAACACTGCTGCAACTATATATGAAAGTTGAGAGAAAATCTGAACATTTCTCAGCACATTGAAAAATATATTTTTTTCTATTTCTTTAATTTTGTATATAAGATGATGGATGTTCACGAAACCTACTGTGGTCATCATTTCCTGATGTATGTAAGTCAAATCACTTTGTTGTTTACATTAAACTTATACAGTACTGTATGTCAGTTATATCTCAATAAACTGGAAAAAAGTTTATTTAAACCTACAAAAAATTTTAAAATGGATACTGGCTAAATAAAATGATACCTTCTCCCCCAGGGTAGAGGGAGAATTTGAGAAATAAATCAGCACGAAAACAATACACTCAAATGATATGAGATGTACATATGAGCCAAGAAGAGAAGGATTTTATCTTTTTTATGTCTACATTCAATTACTAATATCCTGGTACTTATACTAAGTCGCTTCAATTGTGTCCGACTTGTTGCAACCCCATGGACTGTAGCCCATCGGGCTTATCTGTCCATGGGGTTCTCCTGGCAAGAATACTGGAGTGGGTTGCCATTTTCTTCTCCAAGATCCTGGTACTCAATGAATACTACACAGCAGTGAATATATAGAATAGATAAAATGATAGTACTGATGTTCACCCCAACTAAATTTTTAGAGCTATACACTGAAAACAACACAGATGACATCCTCATTACGTAGTGTTTTGGTATCACCTGACTGTGTTTAGTGTTACATTCTTGCCCATCCACCCTGAAGGATACTGCAGCTGCCACATCCAGGACCGAGAGAGTCATGACATTACACTGAATTCTACTGTAAAATTTCACGCCAGTTGACTTTAAATAGTGATTGCAGGACACTTTATTATGATGAGTTTTAACTCTTGTTTTTCAGCTAGTATAAATAAAGAGGCAGGGTTCTATTTTCTTTTTCTGAATACAAAAATAAACGTGGTACATAGCTAAGGAGCTCAACTCTGCAGTCTTAATACCGCCTGGATTGAGGGGATGCCAGTGAAGTCAGGCAAGAAGGCAGTGGTCAGCGCAGGAGCCTTGAGAAAGCCCCAGATGTATTTATTTTAATGTCTCAGTAGCAAAACTCCTAATATGTTAACCTTAAATGGGCAAAATAAATAGAAAAGAGAAGCCTCAGGGGATGTCTGTGACCAAGGCTGAAGCAACTGCTAAAACAAGAAGGAATAAACAAGCCTGCAGAAAAATGAGGACTGGAAAGACATTTCCCCAGTTCTATTCATCACTTCTTTTCAAAACACTGGATGTTTAAAGCTGTTTTAAGTTTTTCAAGTGGGAGGGGACATAGGTAAACCTGTGGCTGATTAATGTTGATGTTTGGTGGGAACCAACACAATACTGCAAAGCAGTTACCCTTCAAATAAATAAATTAAAAAAAAGAAACACGATTTTAAGTTTTAAAACTGAATCACAAAGACAGTGTGTAAACTGGGATAGTAATAAGTGCTTCAGAAAACATCAAACTGAAGGAAGGTTAGTTCTCAAAACATGAAACCTGCTACTATAATAATGTTTTGATACCAAGTTTAGGGAACTAATTATCAGCATTTGTTGTTTGAATTCAAATGCTGATATTTACAAAGTATCTGACACTCAAAAAGTAGAATAGGATTATTGGGAACAAAGAAAGGCCCCAAAAATCCTTGAGCTTGTCATCTTTAAAGTGATGTATCCTGTTACTTATAGATGTAATTTGTGAGAGTTTTTTTTTTTTTTTTTAACTTCACATTGTTTTAGATGTCAAAACGTGAAATGACTAACTTCCTAATCAGGAAAGACATTTTCCAAGTTGTTAAAAGAAGAGTCACAGTGATTGAACTCTGCAGAAGAACCCGAAACCCAAGGCTTCTTTGGTGACTAATAAAAATGCGTGATTTGATTTCCATTATTTGTGCTAAAGCCATTAACGAGTCTACAGCTGAGAGCTCTCTTTAGACAGTTAGAACTAAGGCGAATCTAATCTCTTTTGTT